AAGGGCAGGACGGAGGAAAATAAAATTCACATTTCTTAAGCACCTTCTATGTACCAGGCAGTATGGCACATACATGGTGTATTGGTCCCATTTTCATCCTCATAAAACCTTAGGTGGTATGATGTGGTTGTGTGTCATATTACACGAGGAGACGATATTCCATCACAGATGAAGAAGCTGACGCCTGGAGGGCAAAGAGCCTGACTGAGGCTTCTCTGAGCTGAGAAGCCAGATTCTGGACTCAGACACCAAAGTCCATAGTGCTCCTGGGTCTGGTGGGAGAATGAAAAATAAAAGGAGTGGGAACAAGCCAGCCGTGAAGACAAGAGAATGCACAGCCAAGTAGAAAGGAGCAAGGAAGAATGCTTTAGCGATACTAGAACTCTAAACAGTGGCCTTTGGGCTCAGGTGGCTGAGGTTTCCTATGTTTCGAATGGGGAAAGACATGTTAAGAGATGAAAAGGAAGGTTGGTTGGTCATGAATGATCCAGGAGGGCAGAGACCCAGACGCTTAGCAAAGCTCCTGTGAGGCACTGGGATTCCAGGCCACTGCACACTCCAACCCATGACCTGTTTCCTGAGGTGAACAAACACTTCTTTTGTGAAGAGATAAAACAGGTACTGCATTTTGTTGTTGACATTTTATTTTACTTTGTGAATACTAAGAAGTGGTTGGTAGGGCAGAGGTTCTCTAGGAATGAAGTCAAAGAAAACAGAAGGGACAGGAAACAGACAAGACACCTCCTCAGACTAAGTAAAACCCACCCCTAAAAACTGCAAAAGCCATCCCTCCCCTTCCCCCACCCGAACAATTCAGTCCACAGTCATGAGTCAGGGTGGAGCAACACGGGTATCTGAGCACAGGCTAGGCAAGGGCAAAGTGGGGAGATGCCCTCTGAAACAGAGACAGCGACTGGTGACTCATCATGTACAAGGAAATTAATCAAATAATTAAACGTAATGAGGATAACGAGAGCCTAGCCTCTTATTGTCAAAGAAAGAAAGAAACACAGAAATACAGAAAGGGAGAAAACTGGGCTGAATCCCCTGGTATTAGAGTGGAATTAGAGCTACCTGATTAAATTCACATATCTTAATAAATACATAGGTAAAAATAGAAATAATCGTAAATGTAGAAATATATATAAACATAAAAGGTGTGTGTCTCCCTAGACCTATGCTAAGAGATCTACAAACACTGCTACCCCAGTGATGATAATCAAATCCAATGCCCAGATCTTGTTTTCTAAATCCTATCCTCCCCTAAAAGAGACCAGGGATCCTTGTAGAAAGAGTAGACTCCAGGGCTGGGGTAGGGAAAATACAAGCCTGGAACAGTTTACTATACTTGAAAGTAAGCAAGTGCTCAAAGAATGACAAGGACATCTAGAAAGGACACAGAATCAACCTGAAAGAACTCCTAATGGCCAAATGTGGGATAAGCCACGTACCCAAACAAATAAGGAGAGGAACTGGTTAGAACTCACTGAATAGGGAATTCCATGAATAGGCCATGTGACATAGCCAGACAGACAACACAGGGAGATGGATGGAAGGAATGGGTGGGAGACAGGAAGAGAAAAAAAGGAGAGAAAGAAGAAAATATATTTGTTGACAAGAGGATACTTAAACAGTCTCAAAAAAGTAACTCTCAACAAAATCTGTATTTATGACCAGCGGAAAAAAGTAACTTCACAGAACAGATCATCTGGCAGACAGCGTCCTAAACAAAGTGACCACATCAACTCCAATGGTATAAACCAAAACACTGCGCTTCTTGGTAAAATAACATGCTAAGAGAACACTTCCCAAAGAGCAATACTTTTCTGGATTTTTTTAAAAATGATTTTATTCATTTACTTCACAGAGAGCAAAAGAATACAAGAAGGGGGGAGCAGCAGAGGGAGAGGGAGGAGCAGGCTCCCCGCTGAGCACAGAGCCCTCCAATCTGGAGAGCTGGGCCCCTTGATCCTAGGACCCCAGGACAATGACCCAAGCCAAAGGCAGATGCCTAACAGAATGAGCCACCCAGGTGCCCCACAATACTTTCCTGATACTCCAAACTAAGAAACAGGGCGGGGGGGGGGGGTGCGCACCTGGCTGGCTGAGTCAGCAGAACATGCCTCTCTTACTCTCAGGGCTGTGAGATGGAGTTCCACCTTGGGTATAGAGATTACTTTAAAAACAAACAAAATCTACAAAATAAAGAAGTTTACCAAACTAAGAAACATACAAAATAACAACCTACAATCTTCAAAAATGTCAGTCATGAAAGCCAAGAAAAGATCAAGGAACTATTCCAGATTAAAGAAACAAGTGTTCACAAAGAAAAAAAACAAGCCAAACAAGTCATTTGCCCCTCAACAGGGCAAACCAAGACTGAATTATAGTTTCAAACTACCTCAGGAATGTGACCTTTTAGGAGTCAACGAGGAGTTTCCTGATAAGTACAGTGAGGTAATCTGCATGATAAAAATGCTGCCACCTCACTCTCCGCTCTCCTCACTGGAAGAAGAGGTCCTGGCAGGAAATAATCCTTCCTCTTGGTAGTAACTCCAAGCCTCACCCTCTTTCCCAGAGAAAGCTCTCGTTTCACAACTCCGAGGAGCATCTCCACTTGCTGCATTACAGATGCTGTCCAATTCGTGAAAAGCTTAATAAAGCCAACTAGATCTCCAAATCTATTCAGTTGAATTTTATTTTTTAACACAAGAAAACAAACGTTAACATGATTCTGAGAAGGACTGGTTTCACATAAAGGACGATATTGGCAGCTGGCAAAACCTGAACAGAGTCTGAGGAATGAACCGCAGAACTATTACAATGTTAACTTCTTGATCTTGATGGCTGCATTGTACTTACAAAGAAGAATGTACCTGATTGTGGACGAAATACGCTAAATAACTCAGGGGTGAATAAGCAGCATGTTGGAAATTTAAACTATTCAGGGCTGGAGGGTGGGGGTGGGGCGCAGTTCTAGTCCCAGACATTCCCAATCAGTTTCACAGACTCCTTGAATGCATTTACCTCAGTTACCTTGGACAAAGGGTTCTGATCTACATACAAAATTCACAGAGTAAAGCATCCGGTATGTGTAATGCTGACTAGAAGCACAAGTAACTTAGCAAAATCAGGAAAGACAGAGGGAAAGCGAGAGAGAGAAACTTCTCTCTCTCACACATGCTTTAGTGAGGCTGACTTTAATACTCTAAGATGTTTAGAGTTCAGTAAATGTTACCTAAAATCAGCCCTGACTGTGAAATCCTTCATTCACAGGCCTGTATTTTGGTCTGAGGTGTCTGCTGTGCAGATCTACAGACTGGAAAGGGATAACAAGAGCACTGGTTACATCTTCTGACCCACATGCTTCAGAGCCAGATGTGAGGCAAAGGGCTCTCATTCTAGCACGGTGGGGCCCGTGTGCTAAAAAGAAATGTTCCTACAGAACCAACGTAATGCTCTGGCCTAAGCAGTAAAATTGAAAGACAACTGTCGGCATCTCCTTTTCAAACAACTTCATTTATGAACCAAGAAATGCAGAGTAAGAGGGAGGATACAAAATCTCTTCTTTTCACCTTTCCACAGACTCCTGTTATATTCCATAGTAGATGGCAAAGACCTCTGGGGTCACAATCACTCCTCATAAAAATGCTGAAGATCTACATTCCTTTTCCTAAAGAAAACACAGATTCCACATGTAGAAACCCATTCTATGGAACAATGAGGTCAGAGTGGAAGATTGGTTCTTAAACTTTTACAGCAGAACATAATTTTCTCTTCCTCCTAATAGGTAACTAAAAAGCACAATGTTCTCATAACCAATACAAGAATGGCCTATAATCACGAGGTAAGCGACAGTACAAAGCCAGAGAGTCATTAATGCTCTATGGCCTAAACAGCATAATCTGCTTTACATCTATCTTAATCTATAGCAAATCAGTGTTTCATCACATGTTCAGAAGCTCAGACTATCAGACTATGATAATTTTCTATTAGACAGAGTGAAACTCCAGATGAGTAAGTTAAGTAAAGAGGAGTCAAATGGACACAGCAACTTCCCTTCTCCTCCATTCTCAGAGTCCCGTCTACACCAAGTATAGAGTCTGGATCCCACTGTTCTCAATATTCATCATACAACATGCTTGGCATTCAAGGAGTTTAACTCTATGTTCTTGATCTTTAGGAAGCATCAATACAGCAACACTTCGCTTGAGTAATTTTTTTTAAAGATTTTATTTATTTGTCAGAGACAGAGTACGTGCCCGTGCACACAAGCCGAGGGAGCAGTAGGCAGAGGGAGAAGCAGACTCTCTGCTGACCAGGGAGCCTGATGCGGGACCTGATTCCAGGACCCAGGGATCATGACCTGAGCCAAAGGCAGACGCTTAACTGACTGAGCCACCCAGGCGTCCCTCACTTGAGTAATTTCTGTGTCTTCTGCAAAATCACAGCTAAAAACATAATCCACTATGTCACACAATGGTAGAACCCACAGAATGTCTTTTTCATTGAGCACAATGCCAGGAAAATGCCTGTTTCTGTAAACAAATGAACAGGCTTTCTTTCCACAGACAATGAATACTATGTAATTCAATGCTATACAGAGAAAGGGCTGGTTCCTTGTTAGTCTTAGCAGCCTGAAAACGTGAAGTCAAGTCTTGCACAAGAGTTAAACCGGCCCCCCAGGAGCCTGATAATTTCAAGTCTCTATGTTCTTCCTAGATGGCTTATTCCGTTTTTATCTTTAATTGTTGCTTAGTACTATCTTTAATTCTATTAGTAGATTTAAATCCTCTGGTAAGTACTCAGTGTGAATGTACGTATGTATATATTTTCTATAGGTTACAGTTTTCCTTCTGATGTTTCTTACATTTTGGGGTATCATTCTATATTCAATGACCCAGAAATTAAAAATGATACTGATACCAAGAGGTTAATTTAATAAAGACCAAGCAATGGGCCTCATTCGCTCCGCCTGACAAACCCCACGAGCATATCACCTTTGCAGTAGTCGGCAGGGTCCTCCTGCTCCTCATCGTCGGATCCTAGGATCTCCTCCTCCGGCTCTGGGGGCGTGGGGTCCGGCAGGGGCGGCGGGGGTGGCGGAGGGGGCGGTGGAGGAACTAAGGGAGCTTTCTGCTGAGGCTCCGGCCTGAAACAGTGGAAGGAAAATTCCTGTTTACTTAGAAGTCAGTCTTGCATTATGGACACACATGAGCGTTTCTTAAAACAAGACAAAAAAATAAAACACTAAGAAGAGTTGATTAATGTCACTTTGTCATTCTAGCTGAATTCAAGTAATGTTTCAACATACAGGTCAAGAGGAAAGATTACACTTTACAGACATATTTTCACTCAAAGATTCAGTATTTCTTAAGTCCTGACAAGATCATAAAATATAAGTGAAATAAAGTATTCACCCTTACCCCCCACGATACACAGCCTTGTTAGAACACATCCCACAAAGATTATAAAAAGACAGATGAAAGCAGCCCTGAACGTAAAAAAGGACTTAGTTTCCATTATTTAAAAATGAAATCCTACAGAAATAGTAAGAATGTGGTTAGGTTTCTTGGATGCTTCTAAAAGCTGATTAATACACACTGTAGCTGATGTAGTCATTTTCATCACAGAATTCACAGTTATCGATCAACCTTGCTTATCAAGAACACTGTCCCCAAACTGGAAATTAAACAAAGAAAATACCCATTGTCAAACACAGATACTGTCCAAATATTAATGCCAGGTTTGCAAGGTTTGCAAAATGGTCATTTCTAATTGTCACATAAAGGCTCAATGATGATTAATTATGCTCTTTTACAAAAGTTAAGAAAACCTGTAATGAAAAACATTTTTAAGCTTGAGAGATTACATATATAAACCTTCTTTCAGGAACCTAGAAACTCAAGAGCATACTGAATATATTTGCTTAAATAAATAAGGCATTCATAATGCAATCCTATAAAATCAAGCTTTCACTTACTATAAAATGTAACTGCTATTTCTAACCATGTCCTTCTGGGGAAACCTGAACCTAAGGTCACAACACAGGCATAGAAGCACATCTCTCCCTTCAACTAAGACAAGCTGCCCTAGCAATGGAACCACCACTGCCCTCCCTGGGCTGACCAGAGCTTCGTGGGTAGGAAATGGGGATGTGCGGATACCCTGCAGAAGGTATCTGTGTTCCCCAGAGAGAGTTTCAGTAGGTGAGCAGGGGGTCTCTAGTCTGGGAGCCAGGGGAATCCCACAAGCCCTAATGTGGTAGACAAGTGCTCTTGGCTTTGGCCTGCCCAGTATTCATGGCTCCCCTTCTAAAAACACCCTTCAAGACATCACTACTCTCTGCACAGTGGAAGGCAGCTTCCAGATCTGCTCTCTTCCTGGTGGTACAGGGGAGGGCACCGACAGCTAGAGGTCACCTGAGAGCCCTGGTGCCTTCGGATCAGCAGTCACAGGGTGCAAGTTCATCTGCAGTTGCTGGTACGAGGCAGGGCCAGCAGAGCTGCCCTGACCACTGACCCCTTCTAAGCTGGACCTCTAAATTCTTGCCATATCTAAGATCCTCCAAATAGCATTTACTATATTGCCTTAAGCCTAAGTTAACTACAGTTCATTTATGTGGTTCGTCCCCAACACTCACATTGTCGCAAGCAACAAAGGGGGGCAAGGGTTGAAGGAAACACTAGCAGTCACCAGGAAGAGGTAGGGGTCCTTAAAGGCAAACGCTGGCAATCAGGATCACCTTTGGCAGAACTAACGAACGCTTATGAGCTGAAAATGACTTGTATTGATTTCTACTTGCTAGAATTTGTGAAGACTCAAAGTTACAGCCCTCTGGGTGACAAACATAGGATCGTGGTGGTGATCATATTCTGAGTTAGCCACTGCTCATGATGAAGCCCTGGCAGGGAAGAGTCACAACCAAACACCCACATCACTGCCAGAATGCGTCCAAAAATACATCCAACAGACCTTATGCAAGTGTGATCATCTTTCTGGCAGCTTTGCAGATGCTCCTTCTCTTGTTAACATATGTGCTCTTACTGCAAGTGGAATGTACTGGACAGAAAAGAGGTCCGAGGAGGGGGAGGCAGGGGAGGACTGCACCCATCCCACGGCTTCTCCGGAGAGAAGAGAAGAGAAGGTTAGCAAGATGAATGGTCTCATGCGACCCATTCATTCTTCAGGGCCATTAGCAGAATCTACCCAGCTGAAAACTCTGCTCAATCAGAAATGCTTTGAAAGTTAGCTATTTCTTCCTTAGAAATTTTATATGAATAAACGAGGAGATTCTCCAAATTCAAAAGAAAACGTGTTCTATTCCCTATAGAAACTAGGGAACAAGGAATGAAAAGAACAGAACCGGAGGATCTTGTTTTACTATTTCTTACATTTGGGCCGGGTAGCAGGGGCTGTTTTGTCCTCGTTGGGATGTTATCAGCATCCCTGGCCTCAAGCCACTGAGGTCAGTAACATCCCATCCCCCACCCCCAGGTGCGACCATCAAAACTGGGTCCAGCCGCAGACAACTCCCCTGGGGACAAAGTCATGGCCATTAGGGATCCACTGCTCTCACAATATTTTCTGTTTTTAGCTTCATCTCTATGGAGTAGACTGTATCTGTGTTAAGAGAAAAGAAATTCTAATTTTCATGGGCTCATTTTCTCTCATTTGAGAGGCTCAAATACCTTCATCACAGTGAGTTTCTCTTTGCTTAACAAAATTCTCAGACCCTCTTGTCTCAATGAATAGGCACCTCCCACCCCTCCAGGGAGGACCACACTCAACAGGCAGGCAGAAATCTCCCCCAAAGCCAGTCAGTTTTCTGGGTTAAAGGGATGAGTCGGGGTGCCCTGAAGTATAAAGCAAGCTGAGTAATGCTGACGTAACATTCCAACCAGCCATCATACCGAAGGATCTAGGGCTATGCTGCCTAAATCAGCAGCCGCTGGCCACATGCAGGTATTTGAAATGGGACTAATCCAAATCAAGTTAAGTGTAAAACTACACACTGGATTTCCAAGATTTCATATAAAAAATGTAAAATATCTTATTAATAATTTTGTATTTATTACATGTTAAAACAATAATGTTTGGGATATAATAAAATATATTATTAAAATTAAACTCACCTGATCCTTTTTACTTTTTATTAACGTGACTACTACAACACTTTGAACTACAAATGAGGCCAGCACTACTCTAGGCCCTTCAGATCACCAACCCCACAGGACAGATTCCTGGTCACCCAATAACTGGATTTTTCTTTTCCCTTCTTTTCTTTTCTTTTTTAAGGCTTTATTTATTTATTTGGAAGAGAGAGAATGAGTAGGAGAAGCAGAGGGAGAAACAGATTCCCCGAGGAGCAGGGAGCCAGATCCCAGGACACTAGGATTATGACCCAATCGAAGGCAGACGCTTAACTGACTGAGCCACCCAGGTGCCCTGTGATTTTTTTTTTTTTTTTAAGGCTTCTCCCAGGAACGCCTGGGTGGCTCAGTTGGTTAAGCAGCTGCCTTCGGTTCAGGTCATGATCCCAGTGTCCTGGGATTGAGTCCCACATCGGGCTCCTTGCTCAGCAGGGAGCCTGCTTCTCCCTCTGCCTCTGCCTGTGCTCACTCTGACAAATAAATAAATAAAATCTTTAAAAAAAAAAAAAAAGGCTTCTCCTAGTAACCTGCCTCACATCAATTATCACTAACTATTAAATCACTCAACTCAGCATAGTAAGGCTCAGAACAGTGTTATAGTCCCAATCATTATCTTTTTCATCCCATCCATCCTTGTTACTGCTTCCACACAGGAGAAGCTCTGGTAAATCTGCTGTAGGGTAGCTGTGTGGACCAGGCCACACATCTTTAAGGCTGGCTTCTTCACAGTGGTTTCTCATGGCTTCTACAGCAGCTGTTTCTATCACCAAATACATACTCATGAAATTTACCAACAGATTTTAAAAAATATCTTTTCATCAATCCTGTTGAAAACCATCAAGAAGGTATTTCATATAAGAATTACTAGAAGCACTTAAGAAGCCATGCAGGGAACTCATAAATATTTTCACCAAGGATGCCAACACAATTAAATGGTGAAAGAATGCTCCTTCCAAAAAAATGGTATTGGGAAAATTGGTCATCTGTATGAAATGGGAAAAAAAAAAAAAAAAAAGAATCTGTAACTCTGCCTCACACAAACATAAATATTAATTTGAAATGGTTCAAAGACTTTTTTTTAAAAGATTTTATTTACTTATTTGACAGAGAGACAGGGAGAGAGGGAACACAAGCAGGAGAAGGGGCAGAGGGAGAGGGAGAAGCAGACTTCCTGCTGAGCAAGGAGCTCGATATGAGCCTCTGTGAGGCTCGATCCCAGGACCCTGAGACCATGACCGAAACCAAAGGCAGAGGCCTTCATTACCCTAGGGCTAGGCAACATTTCTTAAATATGACACTAAAAGCATATGCAATAAAAGAAAAAAGATAAAGTGGACTTGATCAAAATTAAGAACTTTTGTGTTTCAAAGGGCAATCAAAAAAGTAAAACCAGTCTACAGAAAGGATGAACATACCTGCAAATCATATAAGATAAGGGTATTATATATCTAGAATATAAAAAGAACTCGAGGGCACCTGAGTGGCTCAGTTGGTGGAACCACCTGCCTTCGGCTCGGGTCATGATCCCAGGGTCCTGGGATTGAGCCCCGTATCGGGCTCCTTGTTCATCGAGGAGACTGTTTCTCTCTCTCCCTCTGCCTACCACTCCCCTTGCTTGTGCTCTGTCAAGTAAATGAATAAAATCTTCAAAAAGTAAAAATAAACAAAATAAAAGAACAAGAACTCGGGGCAGGTGGGTGGCACACTTGCTTGAGCCAACAACTCTTGGTTTTAGCTTAGGTCATAATCTCAGTGTCACGGGATCGGGTCCCATTTTGAGCTCTACACTCGGTGCTTCCCTCTCCCCCTCCTCCTGAGCTCATATGTGTGTGTACACACATGTGCTCTCTCTCAAATAAATACATCTTTAAAAATTGTTAAAAATAGGGGGCACCAGGGTGGCTCAGTGCTTAAAGTCTCTGCCTTCGGCTCAGGTCATGATCCCAGGATTGAGCCCCACATCGGGATCTCTGCTCGGCGGGGAGCCTGCTTCCTTCCC